AAAGTATTTTTTTGATATTTGTTCCATACTGATCAAATTTACTCAAGATTCCCTCCTTAGGCCCCACTATTGTAGCAATGTAGAATTTGTTAAAAAGACTTAATTTTTTCCTATACACAAGTATAAATTACTATGTAAAACTTTGCAACCCTTCAGGGGCCCCACTGGTGGTTTAGTGGTCATTGTTTCAACAAACTTGAAACAACACTGCATAGGGATGTTTGCAAAATAATATCACAAATTGTAGTGGTGTAGTTCTTGAAAAGCAGATTTTTAAAGACTTTACCCTATATAATCTATAGATTGAACTTTGAACCCCTACTGGTACCTTACTATTGGTCCTCTTTGCCAAGTTCATAATAATATAACACCAACTTATTCATATTAAGCTTAATATGAAATTACTCAAGTGTTAACTGATTAACAGTGAATAAACGTATGTTTTTATCTCATTGAATTAAAATAAAAATGAATTTTACCTGCTTATAACAAGGACAAATAAATAAACACACACAGATCTGTTTCATATGATTCTCATATGATAATTCTCAAAATATGCATATGATTCTCATATGCAGGAACTTTCATATGTGTATCATATGTATATTGCTTCATATGATTTACATATGCGTATTCATATGATCCACATATGATTTGCCACATATGATACTCATATGATTGAATATACATATGATTCTCATATGATCCTCATATGATCTTCATATGAAAAGCAATGCATATGTGGATCATATGTGGCGAAATTGCCTATGAAGGTTTTGGAGATTACATGAAAATGTTCGTACCCCGGGTAGATATTCTTGGAGAAGAAAAACTCCTTCTAAACAAAGTCATTTGGATTTCATTTTAATATTAGAGTCCCTTTTGTCAGGTTCAGAAAAATGTACTATAGAATCTAGCTGTAGATCAGACCACTACATAATATCAAATATCTATAGCTTTAAGATAGAAAGGGGTTTATGGAAGTTTAATAACTCTTTACTACATGATGAAAAATATCTGGAATACATGATACTACATGAATGTAGTGGTTTAAAATTTTATTTCATAGCCCTCGTTTCGTAAATTATATTTTGTATCTTGATTAAACAAGACAAAATCTTTTAATTTTAATATTTTTTGTTTTGTTTTTAATTTCATTACTACATTCAGAAAGTATTTGGTGCTAATAGCATGCACAGCACGCCCAATATCCCCTAGTTCACTGGACCCTACAACCTATTGCTCCATATATCTTTTCAGTTACTGAGATTTTAATTTTGTACAATAGTTGCTGTACTTTGTGTAGAAATAGAATAAAGGTACGTAATTTATGAGAAATATTTGACATGCCTATAAATTATATTCTCAAAACTGTCATCTCACTGAAAATGACGACTGCCAAGACAAAATCAGTCATGAAAGGTCAATGACTATGTTTTTCTAGATTGACCAATTAACCTGTTTTTTTAATTGACCAATTAACCAATTGTTTAATTATCAACTCTTGAATGATACAGAGGTTTAGTATCACCTATGTAAACAACTACTTAACATATCCACTCTAGCCCCAGATATTCGCCGTTATACAAGTAAGTCAAAGCTGAATTAATTTATGCTTGATTGAAGTACATGCAAAATCAACACTTCGAGAAGCCAACCTGAAGAGTGAAAAACAATGAAATATGTGCAACACGACCCAGGACTAGGTTCGAGAGATAGAGAGCTTCGAGAAATTGGATGTTCGAAAGATTGGGAGTAAATTTGCTTATTTATAAAGAGGAAAAAAAAAACAGGAATGGGTTAAAGTTCGAGAGATAGAGAACTGCAAGAGATTGGAGTTCAAGCTATCTAAAGTCACCTGTAGTTTCTATTGTGTGTTCTACAGCGCAGTGACAAGGTTTTGTTGTTTTTTTGGGATATTTAATGTAGATCTCCTATGGATTTCATAAAGAAAATTACAATGAATGTAAATATTACAATGTAAATAATCATACTAAAGGAATAACGCACCTTTCACAAGTTGTATCAAATCAAACTGTTACGAAGTTACAAAGTATAATCAATATTCCTGTAATTACATACAATATTCTGTATCATTTACCTGATCAGGGATTACATCGACGGACTGGCCAAAATCCATTTTGTTTTCATCAAGACCTGATGGCCCAATATTCCGAATATCCTGCAATACATTCTAGCAAGTCATCACAAGGGCTTAGATGTGACCATCATCAATGAACTTTTTCCTGATATATTCCCTTCCAAGAGCCTACTTTATATTATTTTATTTGTGTTTTCTCACATTTTTGTATGTACATGTATAATTATATTTTCTCCTATTGATCTTGACAAATCCAAATATATTGGTAAAGGGTTAAAATGTTTAGAATAACCTTTACAAATAATTAGTTTACCAGTAAACCCTCTCTGTTGCATCAGTTTTTTTTCCCTTGATTTAAAAACAAAAGACCCATGGGCCACACCTCTCACCTTAGAACATTGGCTAGGAAAAAAAACAGAAATAAGTTGAGAATTGCAAAGTTCACAGGTGGGGGTGGGGGTTGGGGGCGCAAACTTGAATTTACACTTCCTGAGGATGCTTCCATATCGATATAACTAATCATGACTTTGCTGTTCTTAAGAAGAAAACTTTTAAATCTTTTACTATATATTCCTATGACAATATAAAACTAATATTATATATTCCTATGTACATCAATGTAACCCCTTGGGGGTCATGATTTGAACAAATTTGAATCTAGACTATACTACCTGAGGATGCTTCCATATTAATATGACTAATCATGGCCTTGCTCTTCTTGAGCAGAAGATTTCTAAAGATTTTTTCCTACTGTACATTGTATATACTCTTATATAAAACAATGATCGCCCTGTGATTGTGGCCCCATCCTTCCCCTGGAGGTCATGATTTGAACAAATATGAATCTAAAATACTTGAGGATCGATGCTTCGATATTAATATGACTAATTATGGCTTTGCTGTTCTTGCCAAAAAAATTTTTAAAGATTTTTTTTTCCAATTTATTCCTATGTTAAAATTGGATCACCCATTGTTGCCCCACCCTAACCCAGGGGTCATGACTTGAAATAATTTCAATCTACACTAAGTAATGAAGACTTCATATAAGTTTCAACTTTTTTGGCCCTGTGGTTCTTGACAAGAAAAAATTTTTAAAAGATACCACCAAATTTTCACTAAATCTGAATTATCTCCCCTTAAAAGAGGGTGTGGCCCTTCATTTGAACAAATTTGAATCCACTTTACCAAGAATGCATTGTGGCAAGTTTGGTTGAAATTGGCCAAGTGGTTCTGGAGAAAAAGTTGAAAATGAAAATTTTACTGACAAACAGACAGACAGACGGATACAGACAAAATGTGATCAGAAAAGCTCACTTGAACTTTCAACTCAGGTGAGCTAAAAATGCATTCTTTTAACGTGTCTTAAGAAACCTTTGGTCAGAGCTTGACATGCAGATAGGGCTGGGACAATATATCGAGATATTGATAATATTGATTCTGTGTGAGGACGATGCACATATCGATACGTATGAAGAAATACTGAAATATCGCAAAAAAAAAAAAAAAAAAAAAAAAAAAAAAAAAAAATCTGACATAATTTTCTCTGTTTACTTATCATTTTGGGTTTAATATATAAAGATAAATATGCTTAAATATAAATATAAATATGAAATACAAAGTAATTAACACTACTTGAGTAAAATAATTTTGTTTTACAACAGATATACTTCTTTGAATAAATTATTCTTATTTCTGAAGAATTTTTTTGTTCATTTCAATATAAAAAAAAATTATAACCAATTAAACATATCATGAAACATATTGTATCCTGGCTCAAATATTGTGATATGTATCGATATAGAAAAAGTTGTATCCTCTCAGCCCTATATACAGATCCCTCACTCAAAGTTAATGTTTGACCAAAATATGATCAGGTAACATTTCCCTTTTCTACTTTTAAGATACCTACCAGTAGACAAATTTATGACAAGCAGACAGGAGAGCTATGCTTTCTGTGAAAAAGAATGCAGAATACACTTCTACCACCTATGTAATTCTGATGCAGATGTACGTAATAATTAAACTGGCATGCTGTGCTCGCATAAAGTAGCATTTTAGTTTATGTAAATTTCTTCATGAATTGGAACAAAAGAGTTTTTTTCATCAAATTATAAATTTCTTCATATTACAGTTTAAAATTTTGATGGAAAAAATACGACTACTTCTTCCCATCTATAAAATAATGCCATATACCTAAACATGTTGACAATTGATAACATACCATATTGACATCTGTTTGTATATGGAACATTTTTCCACTTGCAACATACACTGCTACAGAGAATATTACAAACATAAATAATATCTTTGCAAATGCTTCCATGGAATACCTGTCAAAAAATGAAAAGAGATAGAATATACCATGCACATACTGTATCTGTGTGCAGTTTTTATCAAGTATGTTTCTAATTTTTAGGGTTGGTTTCGAATGCAGAATTGCAATTCAAATATCCACAATTTGCTCCAACAGACTAACCAGTTACCTTATATTAAAATGCACAATTTATAAATCAAACATTTATTCAATTTTATTGTTTACAAAATAGATCATCATGTATCAGCCAATTGTAGTAATTTATTTGCTGCACCAAAATATGGCTGTAATACTGCTTTTTTGGAGCTATAAAATAACTAATTTTGTTTTACCGATGCTAAATTTTTACAATTTTGAGATTCTCAGCTTTTGATTTGACTTATCCATTGTTTACAATAGATGTTCAATGTGTCACATGCTAAATTCCAGCTACCAAACTACATTGGCAAAATTACCCCCCTCCACCCCCCCTCCCCCAGTTTTAAAAAAGAAACTCTCCTTAAATATCCTTGTACCTGGTGAGAAGCTCATGTCCAAGAAGCTCATGTCCAAAACAACTTCAGATTTTGGATATTCTGTACCACCTTTGCCTTTTTCAGGAGGCTCTGACAGAGTGGGCTTAGACTCTTTATATTTTACTCCAGAAGTTTCCTTGGGTGTAAATCCTGGTACATGTAATATATGTACATGTATGAACAATGTAGTTGAAATAAAAAAAACATACATGTATAACAATTTTACTGTAAAAGAAATTGTTGAGAAGGCTAACGAAAAAGTTTCTATACCATTAAAATGCATATGTACTGAGAAAACGAGAAATATCAAAAAAATTATACAAAATCAATATATTTGTGGATGTTGTTAGACTGTTTTATCACAGTGTAAGAAATGGGTAGCTGAAATGAATATTGATTAAGATTGCAGTCAATCAAATGCTCAAAGATTCATTTACTCCTTTTTTTGTATGAACAATTTAAAAGCAGTCCCAAAAACTTGACAACTATTCAGTTTGGACGTTTGAGGTCGCATTTTATAGCAATCCTAGAACAGACCCTTAGCAATTCAAGATCAGTCTCAAATTTTGAAAATTAAGCTGTATCAATTTGAAAGCAGACTGGAATACTTCCTGGGACTGCTTGTGTGCTAGGTAGGGTTGGTTTGTACTTATCTCTAATAAATCCTTCATTCTCATACTCTATCCATTTACAGATTTCGAAAAAAAAATACTGCTGGTCAAGAGGCTCTACTTGTATATTTTTCTTTAACAAATATTTAGATTTTGTTGTTGTCTGCTGTATTTCTGGAATACTACAAGTCTAAAGAGAATGGGTAGAAAGGGGAAGGAGTTGTCTAATGATGTTAAAAAAACTGTGTGGAGACAAGGAAAGTCCATTCGAAAAGTGTCAGAATTTTTAAGAATTCCTTTTACTACCGTTTTAAGTGTTAAAAAAATGTACTGAGCAACGTGGTTAATGTGGAAAACAACAGATGAACATGATGAAGTGGCCGGCCTCCCAAAGTAACAGCTCGTGATTACCGCAGATTAGAAAGGTTGGTGAAAACAAATAGAAGGAACACTTCGCTAGATATTATAAACAAATTTAACGAAAATGTTGATTATCACGTTGCTAAATGTATGGTACAACTCCATCTTCACAAACATGGGTACTCGAGACATGTGTCTAGAAAAAAAGTTGTTGTAAATAGAGAGTAATTGGAAAAATGATTGACATGGTGTAGAGAAAAACGATGATAGTAACAATTGATAATTATTGGAGTAAAGTGATTTTTCCTGATGAATCTGAAATCATGATTGGACACAATTCTTGTGTATATGTAAGGTGCAAAAAAGACGAAGGTTGGGAAACCTGATCTAATGACAACACGACAGGGTAAGCCAAATTATGAAGTGATGATCTGAGGATGTGTAATATGAGACAGTGTGGGAACTATAGCATCTGAAAATGGCAATATTAATGCTGAGAAGTATCAGGAGATCCTTGATGAGAATGTCATTTCTCACCGAAAATTACATATTTCAGCACAATAATGCTCCACTGCATCGGGCTAGAGGCACTTAACAGTTCTTTCACAGAAATAATATCACTACAATGAGTTGGCCAGGACAGAGCCCAGACCTTAATATTGTTGAAAACCTGTGGTTGTTGATTAAAAGGAAACTTCAGACGCAAGTGGGGAGGATCGGGAGTAGGGATGACCTCTTCTGCGACATTCAGGCCCAGGGATCTTGAAACATCATAAGCTTAAGTCAAAATGTTTATGTCATTCAAAAATGTTGTAGAAGTCAAGTAGACCAAATCTGAAATATTTTTTAATAATTGAATAATGCAAGTATTGTAATCTGCAGATTTAGAGATTAATTTAATAATTAGTGAACATTTTACAGTCGATCGAAACTTTAACGTAAGTCTATGTTTCATGATCCTGGGGCCAGGGCATCTGGACTGGGACCACGAAAGACTCAGAAGCCTCTACCGATCGATTCCTAGCAGATTACTCAATGTAATTAGATTGAAAGGACATATGAAGTAATAGGTAAGTTTTATAAAATTGTTTATTAATTTTGAAAATGTCATACGTACGTTTTTAGACTGACCTACTTTCGTCGGAAATGTAAACACGCCGCCATTTTGTACGAATATTTATTGCATCATACTGTACATTCAAACAAAACCTGTACAAATTGTACCTATGCATGAAATATGCAAGCCAACAAACAAATTTACAGAACCAATTGTTTTCATCAAGATTAGGTACATGTATGAACACAGCCTTCTTACTGATATCTCTTTTTTGCTGATCCTCTCCTTCTGTCTTAGGATTTCTATCTCCTTCAAGTTCCACAGTTTCACCCAATCCCTGTTTATCTCAAAAGCTACCTGGAATGGAAAACATTTAAAACTGCTCAAGCTTAAAATTTGGTTGAATAGTCTCAGTAATATCATTATATTGCTATGGGGTTCAGTGTTTGAAACTCAGTAGTTAAATTAGCTACGTATAAACAAGTAGCTGACTGCTATAAAAATTGAATCTTCACAACATGTTTGCTCTACAAATTAATGGCTTAAAATTAAACTAGGATGAACTTGCTCAAAAACCTTCAACTTGGTCACTCATCCAGAAAATATTAGGTCATATCATGCATCAAAAGCAAGTCAGGTAGTGTGCGTGCATTTATAGATGCATCGTAATTCATAGTTCCAGGTAGGGTTTGAATTTACACTATCTAGTCATTGTTCTGAAGAGTCTGAGAGTGTTCCTCCTTTGATACATCATCCAATTGCAACTTTGATCTAAGTAGGACTTGAAGATACGGTGGAATAGACTTGCTTTCAAAACTTTAACCTAGTCTGTCATCCAAAAAAAATGTAGGTCAAATACAGCATCTGAAGCAAGTCAGATTTGGTTCAGATAGGCCTTATGCTGGTTCTTGATAATGGACCTGATCCAAAACCTTTACCCTGGTAACTCATCTAGAAAATGTAGGTCAAATCTAGCATCTTAAATAACTCTGGTAGTGTGCATTCCTTGATACAACATCAATGCAAGTTTGGTTCAGGACGGCCTCATGCAGTAGTTTCTTGGTAATGGAGCTGCTCCAAAAACTTAAATGACCTTGACACTCATCCACAAAATGATTTCGGTCAGATCCAGCACACAAAGTAAGCCTTGTAGTGTCCATCCTTATACGTTTCAACATCCATGCAAATTTGGTCATTATAATAGGAATTATAGAAACTGGGAAATGGGACACTCAAAAAAACTTTAAATAATAAGCTCCAAGAACATTAACCTGGTCATTCTTAAGGTCAAACTGAGGAATCTAAAACTTTTCATTGATACAATGAAACATACTAGAAGCAATGTCCATGCATCTGTGATCAATATAGGGCACAAAAGTACTTGAAAAAATCTACACCAAACACTTTAACCTGGGATGTCGACATCAAAGGAGTTACATAAGCTCCCCAAAAACTTTGATGAGATGAGTTTAAAATCATTCAATTTGAGAAGACTAGTTAAAAAGATTCATGTGGATTCACTGATGAAAATGAGAAAAAAGATATTAGATGAATAAGACAAACAAAGTATCGTACCATTTTCTTGTTTCTTTGGATTGTCCACATCCCCTTCAGTTATTTGTTCTCTTAATGGAATGACTTCTGGAACTGAAATTTGAAATGCAACTGAAAATGCATGAAAAACTAGAAATATGTCCCTAGGACATGAATGCCCCGCCGAGGGTATATTAGTAATGCAACATTTTAACACAAATTGAGAAAAGTGAGGTCAAGGTCAAAGGAAAGGTCACGGTGAAAAAATATTGATGCAGTTGAATAACTTACATCAGTATGTATCAGCATATGACGTTTGACACTAATTAAAGAAAAGTGAGGTCAAGGTCAAAGGAAAATTCAAGGTCAAAAATTGTTGATGCAGTTGAAGAGGATACATCAGTATGTATTAGCATATGAAGTTTGATAAAAATATTATGAATGGTTTCTTTAAAACTGAGCTAAACACTAATTTAAGAAAAGTGAGGTCAAGATCAAAGGAAAGGTCAAGGTCAAAAAATATTGATGCAGTTGATTAGCTCTCATCAGTATGTATCAGCATATGAAGCTTGACACTAATTTAAGAAAAGTGAGGTCAAGGTCAAAGGAAAGGCCAAGGTCAAAAAATGTTGATGCAGTTGAATAGCTCTCATCAGTATGTATCAGCATATGAAGTTTGATAACACTATCTTGAATGGTATCTTTAAAACTGAGCTAAACACTAATTTAAGACAAGAAGCCCATGGGCCACATCGCTCACCTGAGCACATTGGCAAGGCAAAAGCACAAATCAATTCAGTATTGAAAAGATTACGGGGGTGGGGGGGGGGGCTTGAATTTTAAAATACCTGATGATGCTTCCATGTCAATATAACAAATGGCTTTGTTGTACTTGAGAAGATTTTTAAAAAAATCTCCAATATATTCCTTTGTAAAAATTTGATCCCCCATTGTGGCTCCTCCCTATCCCAGGGGTCATCATTTTAACAAACTTGAATCTACACTACCTGAGGATGCTTCCATATCAATATGATTAAACATAACATTTCTGTTCTTGAGAAGAAATAAATTTCTATATGTTCTTATGTAAAACTTTCGATCCCCCTATTGGGCCCCACCCTACCCTCGGGGGTCATCATTTGAACAAAATTGAATTTACACTACCTGAGGATGCTTCCATATCAAAATGACTAATCATGGCTTAGCTGTTCTTCATCAGAAGATATCTTCCTATATATTTCTATTTCAGACTTTGATCCTCCATTGTGGCCCCACCCTACCCCAGGGGTCATGATTTGAACAAACTTTAATCTACACTACCTGAGGATACTTCCACACAAATATGATCAATCAGGGCTCTGCTGTACCTGAGAAGAAGATTTTTAAAGACTTTTTTCTATATATTTCTATGTAAAACTTTGATCCTCCATTGTGGCCCTGCCCTACCCCCGAGGGGGTCAGGATTTGAATAAATATGAATCTACACTACCTGAGGATGCTTTCATATAAATATGACCAATTAGGGCTTTGCTGTTATTGAGAAGAAGATTTTTAAAGATTTTTCCTATATATTTCTATGTAAAACTTTGATCCTCCATTGTGGCCCCGCCCTACCCCCGGGGGTCATGATTTGGACAAACTTGAATCTACACTACCTGAGGATACTTCCATATAAATATGATCAATTTGGGCTTTGCTGTTATTGAGATGAAGATTTTTAAAGATTTTTCCTATATATTTCTATGTAAAACCTTGATCCTCCATTGTGGCCCCGCCCTACCCCCGGGGGTCATGATTTGAACAAACTTGAATCTACACTACCTGAGGATGCTTCCATATAAATATGACTCATGATGGCTTTGCTGTTCTTGAGAAGAAGATTTTTAAAGATTTTACCTATATATTTCTATGTAAAACTTTGATCCTCCACTGTGGCCCCGCCCTACCCCCCGGGGTCATGATTTGAACAAACTTGAATCTACACTACCTGAGGATACTTCCACATGAGTTTCATCTTCCCTGGCTTTGTGGTTCTTGAGAAAAAGATTTTTAAAAGATGCTATTAATTTTTCACGAATTCTTTATTATCTCCCCTTGAAAGAGGGTGTGGCCCTTCATTTGAACAAACTTGAATTCCCTTCACCCAATGATACTTTGTGGCAAGTTTGGTTGAAATTGGCCCAGTGGTTCTTGAGAAGAAGTCGAAAATGTGAAAAGTTTACAGACGGACGGATGGACAGACAGACAGCTAGACAGCTAGACAGACGGACAGACGGACTACAGACATATGATCAGAAAAGCTCACTTGAGCCTTTGGCTCAGGTGAGCTAAAAAGTGAGGTCAAGGTCAAAAGAATGGTCAAGGTCATAAAATGTTGATGCAGTTGAATAGCTTACATCAGTATGTATAAACATATGAAGTTTGATTACTATCTTGAATGGTATCTTTAAAACTGAGCTTAACACTAATTTAAGACAAGATGCCCATGGGCCACAACGCTCACCTGAGTCAATATGGCCCTGCTGTTCTACGTCAGCAGATTTCTCCTATATATTCATATTTAAAACTTTGATCGCCTGTTCTAGGCACACCCTACCCCCAGGTGCCATGTTTTGAATGGAATTGAATATAAACCTGATGAGGATGCTTCTATATTCATTTAACTAATCATGGTTTAATGTTCTTTAAAACGGAATTTTAAAGATGTCTAACACCCTACCGGGGGGGGGGGGGTCATGATTTGAACAAATTTGAATGTACACTACCTGAGGATGCTTCCATATCAATATGACTAAACATGGCTTTGTTGTTCTTGAGATTGAAGAAGATTTTTACAGATATTTCCTATATATGTTCTTTTGTAAAACTTCGATCCCCCATTATGGCCTCACCCTACTACTGGAGGATGCCTTGAACAAACTTGAATCTACAATACTTGGGGATGCTTCCATATCAATATGACTAATCATGGCTTTCCTGTTCTTGAAAAGATTTTTAATATATTCCTATGTAAAACTTTGATCCCCCATTGTAGCCCCACCCTATCCCCGGGGGTCATGTTCTATACAAACTTGATTCTACACTACCTGAGGATGACTCCCTATTAATATGACTAATGGTGGCTTTGTTGTTCTTGAGAAGAAGATTTTTTTTTCTATATATTCCTATATAAAACTTTGATCCCTCACTGTGGCCCCACCCTACCCCGGGGGTCATAATTTGAACAAATTTGAAACTACACTACTTGAGGATGATTCCATATCAATATGACTAATTGTGGCTTTGTTGTTTTTGAGAAGAAGATTTTTAAAGATTTTCCCTATATATTCCAATATAAAAGTTTGATCCCCCATTGTGGCCCCACCCTACCCCGGGGGTCATGATTTGAACAAACTTGAATCTACACTACCTGAGGATGATTCCCTATCAATATGACTAATTGTGGCTTTGTTGTTCTTGAGAAGAAGATTTTTAAAGAAATTTCCTATATATTCCTATGTAAAACTTTGATCCCCCATTGTGGCCCCACCCTATCCCCGAACAAACTTGAATCTACCCTATGTAATGAAGGTTTCACATAATTTTAAACTTTTCTGGCTCAATGGTTCTTGAGAAGAAGATATTTAAAAGATGACACTAAATTTTCACAAATTCTTAATTATCTCCCCTTGGAAGAGGGTTTGGCCCTTCATTTGAACAAATTTGAACCCCCTTTACCCAAGGATGCTTTGTGGCAAGTTTGGTTGAAATTGGCCCAGTAGTTCTGGAGAAGAAGTCAAAAATGTGAAAAGTTTACAGACGGACGAACAGAAGGACGGAAGACGGACATGACAAACACTATATGCCCCGGCCATATTCATGGCGGGGCATAAAAAAACAAGACGCATCTGCATATTATTATAGGAAATACATGACGCACTTCTTTAAGGTCACTAGCAAAGGGTACAAATGTACTAAAATCTGAATTCAACTCCAAGCAACTGCTGCAAAGTCTAACTTATATAATGGAAGAGACGTATTGTAGAGCAAAAAAAAATTGACAATGAACTAAAAAGTCAGAAGCTCGAATCATACAAGGAGACTGTGGTTTATCAAATGAATGTGAAAAGTTAAGATTATGATCAGGGTTGGAAGACTGTCTTTTCAAAGAATTAATTCTTTGATTTTTTGGTGATGTATATTCTACTTGTAATATGTTTGAGATGCATATGCCTCAGTAACTAACATAAATTCAGATTCGATGTCAAATTTATGCTACAAAGAAATTGTGAAAGATACACAATTTCATTCCTGAACAACTTAACAAACACAGTGAGGTATACATGTATTTCAAAAACATCAGTGTTTCACAATCACCTATTTTGTAAGCAGTGATTCATTTTGAATATGGTTATCATGGGTCCAAAGGACCCCTCTTAATGACAACAATGAGTCCTATGCCAAAATCAATGCGTCCAAATCCAAGGGTACTGTTTTTGTTTTTTGTTTTTTTAACTAGATATTACAGAGGAAATTCTGGTGAAAAAAATAAGAAAGGGTATTGCACAAATGTGCACATGTTTTATTGAAGCTGTGAGTGGTTTATACTTTTACTATCAATTAGAAGTAAAAATACATGAAATAATATTGTCAATTGTCCTTGGTGCTATTTTTAGATCGTAAATACGATCTCGCACAATCAGTATGGTATCAGTCATAAAATGCACAGAAGCAGAATGAAGTAAAGAAAGTTTTGTTTTTTTTTTCTAAATGAAATATTGTCAGAAAGAAAAATGATCAAATTTTATACTTCTTAGCTTCTAAGGAAAAAATTAAAAAGATACAGGTCACAGCTTTACAAAGCTATATAGTATATAAATACGCTTCAGAAAAATTCCACAGTAGACATAATCGAACTATGCTATCTAACTTTCAAATATTTCCTGATAATTGCTTGTTATAACTGCAAATTAACAGTGAATTATAAAATCTGACCTGTTGTTGGCAACCTTATACCTGTTAAATTATAAATTTTACGCATCCATTGGGATGCACATTTATTGAAATAATGAGTCCTGAGCAAAATTTCTGCGTAATTTACGCAGGACACAGACCAAAATGAATCACTGTGTAAGATTCATTTAACTGAGAGAAAAATACTTATAGAGGTATTGCATTGAAGTTTCTTAACTGTGTTTAAAAAAAATGTTGATTATGGTGCAATGCCATGCCAATTTTTAACTTTACGATTTTAGTGAAACAAAAAAAGTATTAAAAATGTTCCTGCAATTTTCTGAGACAACCTAGGTACTTGCATACACTTTTTATAATGCCATCTTTATGAAAGATTTCTTGCGAAGTGTCAAAGGTCAACTGTTTCATAGTTCTTGGATCAATGCAATGTATTAAACAAACCATTATCTTTGCAAATTATTTGTATAAAGTAAGTGAAGTGACCATGATCATAAAATCTTGATTTGCAATATTTTAAACACTTCAGAAACATGTGTAAAGTTATGATAAATGATCTTTTTGTTAATACAGGAATAAATAGTCATGATAGTTGAAATTAAAGCAGAGAAAGCTGTATAATTTCAACTGTGTTCAATCTGATTGAGCTTTAGAGCTATTTAGATGATGAAGCCTACATGTATGTGAAGCAAAAATAATATGTCATTAATATAGAGTCACTATGACTTTATGAAATCTCAGAATACTAGTCTCTTCAACTAAATTATATAATTCCTACCTGAAGCTGATGCCATTTTATCAACATCTTCAGAGGAAAGTCTAAGCTGATCTTCCAAGGAAATCTCAGGCTTTTCTATGACAAAAAAGAAAATGAAAATGATATCATAATAAAATCAATCAACATTTAGAAAATTTATCTATAAGTACCAACGTACATGCACTCTTCAGAAGTGTACTTTCAAAAATAAAATACGTACTACATGTACCAATGAAAAAAAAAATCTGTATTAAAAAATCAAACATAAGAATTTATAATAATTATTTATAAAAAAAAAAAAAAAAAAAAAAAAAAAAAAACAAGATGTGTTTGTGAAACACTATGCCCCGATGGTAACACAATTCTGGAGTGGGACAAGGACTACAGTGCAATAGTTATGGCCAATGTTAAAGTTTTTCAAATGTAGGTCAAAGGTCACAGTTGAGGTCACATGATCAAAAATTTCTGTACCAATGGAAAGGATTGTCATAATGAACACTTGTGTCAAATATTTAAGCCTTACCCTTGACAGCGCAATAGTTATGGGCTAATTTAAAGTTGACAACAGACAGACAAACAAACACACAGACAAACAGACATACAGGACAAAAACAATATACCCCTGGGATCTTTCGATCCAGGGCATAAAAATGCCTGGGAGACTGAACCCATATTACTGTATATTAAATGCAAATTCTAACATGTCTAAAGCAAATAGCATAAAAAAGATGCCAGTTTAAATTTTAGCTACATGTACCTCCACAATAATTATACAGTAAGTATACAGTGGTGCCTCAATAATCCATATGCTTCATTTTCAAGATTAAATTTGTTGGCAACAATTTACGAGGGGTTATCAAAAAGTTTGTGGACTGATGTGGTAAAATTAACACTATGCAGTCAGTGCTTACCAAATATATAAGAAACATAAAACAACAAATGTTTGAGAAATTTTGAAAATTTTAGCTTGAAGGTTGATAATATGCCACCTGGCGCTATCGCCATTGAGTTTTATGATGTCATGGTTTCTCTATGTCTACTTCCTCTGCCTCGGTACACTTATTTTGATGAGATTTCCTGGGGTTAAGTAAAGATTTTAAACTGTCTTGTTTATACACGTATATGACTTTACAATGCCATGAGCAGCTGATTACAATGCATATTATATTGTATACAGTAAATGGATCTATGTATATCCAAAGATCCTGAGGCTCACTTGATTTATGCCAGCATAAATGCTTGTCGGAGTTCAATGTGTACCACACATGAGCAATGACACTTATCAACCTGACTGATTTTTGACATCCGGACTACAAATCGACCTAAACAGTGCGTTTCTGCCTTTCCTGGATACTTTTGATGCATTTTCTTCTCTGTAGCCCTTTTAAAAATTTCCAGGATCTTTGCCAGTTTTTCCAGGGGTGAAAATTTATGGAATGTTGGAAAAAGACATCCCTCCCCCTTCTGGCATCATTTTTAAACCCATATTTGTTTGGATATGATAATTCATGATAAGTTGTCATACAATTTACAGAATGAGGTAAAAGGGCTCATTTTATGGGAAAATTGTGTCATACCACATGAATGAATTAATGTGATAAATGGATGACAATGCTCATATTAAAGGAGTTTTTCTCAGTTATACTCAAGTATAAAATACATCATGCTTGCAGATGCGCCACCTAGACATACCATTGCTTACAAAAACATCAACAATTTATTAAAGCATAAAACTTATGATTCATAGTTGTATTATACAGAAAGAAAACATATGTAAAATTTCATTTATGTACCTAAAGCGCTTTTTTCTATGGTGCCAGTCCACTTTATGATAACCTTTCGTAAATTTAGACATTATAGCAAGTATGTTACAGTAATCAAGATGCTTTGTTAATCCGGACAGTTTGCTCAGAAACAGAAGCAACTGGATTAACAAGGAATGACTGCATGTGTATATGCATGTATATGATTTGAAGAACAACACAAAGAATATGCAAATAATAGAGATAATTGCCTGCACTAATGTCCTCTTGTACTTGATCCAAATACGTGCCCTCGTTGCCTTGACAATTTCCAACTAAACTTTTGATGTCCTCCACACTCTTGAAGTCTACTCTCAGACTCTGACCCAAAAAAAAAAATACTTTAAGAACATGACATGAAAAAGCTACATGTAATTTAACAAGAGGCCCAAGGGCCTTAACGGTCACCTGAGTATAATACAACAATTTAGAAGTTAAATACACTGATAGATGAAGCACTGTAGCCCTAAAGCAAGAGAAGTAGGAAGATCAGGATCAACAAAATAATTAGTCTAGTATTCACTATCAACTCATAAATTGAGTTCTAATTTGTCCCTCTCTTAACACTATCACCATGCAGACTATTAACAAACTATTAGTGCTTCTGTACTATTTTTAAACCCATATTAAGACCTCTAGCATTGACCTCTCTTATGGTCTTTGAAGAACTTTTAATAAGATAAGTTATTTTAATTTGTCTCATTTTTATTTAACTATTACTTACAGGTCTACCTGATTATTAAAACTAAGAAAGTACTTTTTTAATTATACGATAAACATTCTTGCGAATGTGTTTTTTCCTCAGTAACTACGAATGCAAACTTTTCAAAACGTCATTGGTTTCAATGTATCAAAGTGGTTTCTGAATAAAATGAAATTGATAGTCATCGGAAGGAAGTCGGGACGACTAATTGTTTTCGATTTACCCTATTATTGTCTTATAGTGTTCTCGTAGAAGTCTTAGAAAAACTTTACGAAATTCACAGAAATAAAGGTCAACACCTGTGCATGTATATTTCCTGTGCAGATATATTTCTATGTGGCGATGTCTATTTTTAAAACGGAATAATTAATATTTTTCTTGTTCTTGATACGAGTATCCAAAAACCGTGTATATAAGTTTATGTTTGATCTTTTTAAAGCTATAAATTATTCAATGTCTTTGTCTCCCTTATTTTTTTTTCTGTAATATTCCTAGGTTTCTTCAAGGCACATCTGTGAAGCTTTTATATATTACCAGTTTCTTGATATAATTAAGAAGAAATAAAATATCTTAGCATTTCCAAGAAAAAAAATTAGGACCAAAGTTTTATAAACACTACAAACTACTGATTTTATTTTCATATATGTAGTTTACGGGGACTGCACTGGAGTAATACACATACTACGAAGTTGTAGGTCGCCCGCGTGGCGCAGTGGTTAGAGCGTCTGCTCTAGAGTCGCGGAGTAAGGAGTAGATCCTTACGTCGCGGGTTCGAATCCCACTGTGGGACGTGGAGACCGTCCTTCGGATGAGACCGTATAAACCGAGGTCCCGTGTTGCAGTAGGTGCTGGCACGAAAAAGATCCCTCGCTGCTCAATGGCCGTAAGTGCCGAGTATAGGACAAAATTTGCAGCTCTCCATCGGCAAGTGGTGGTGTCTCCATATGATTGAAAAATTCTCGAGAGGGACGTTAAACAACAATCAAACAAACGAAGCTGTAGAGAAAACGTCACTGTTGACGGAGACTTCTATTAAATAAAAGAGTGCATTTTTTTTCAAATATAGAAGACCATGTTATAGTTTACACCCTCTCTCTCTCTCTCTCTCTCTCTCTCTCTCTCTCTCTATATATATATATATATATATATATATATTCTCTAATTGCAATTTTTGCTTGATGTCTTAGATTCTAAATAAAATGACCGCCACCTTCATATCACAAGCAACCCTTCAACTAAGAGTTCTTATTATCCATATTCATATTAACAATTAAAATTATAGTCACTTAAAAAGGAGTTTCATAATTACTTAAGTTTGATGTTACTTCGCTTTCTTGGTTATATAAAAAGGTATCAGGAATATACTTCCGAAAAAGGTACCCAACACAGATATCGGAGATTATTGAACTTCCTGGTTTGAACCAGTTATAAATTGCATGTAATCTAAAAATCTCTTCGATTCGTCTGTCCTTATACAGAGCTTTTTCAATTGTAGGCAATTTAAACTGAAAGAAACTTCATTACCTAATTGCATGCCTGACAACACATACTGTAAACTAGGCTTTAGTGTTTTGAACTGACTTACATGTACCTTTGTCTGATGAATATATTTTGAAAATTTATGCCAGAATGTTTATATATTTTTGAAGCAAATGAGCAGTTACTTAATGATACCATTTCATAATTTATTTACACGTTTAAGAATAAATCTTTGTCATTTAAAATAATACATCAGATGACTCTCTCGGGCACAACGACAACATGGAAAAAAACCTTGACGCATATTTCCTTCGAATCCGTCTGGCTATATTTAGTGTACAAGGAAATAATCTTGCGTAATGAAAACAAACTGCACGGACCCTTCAAAGATATGAGTATGTCATTTTAAAAAAAACTATAAAAGCGTAACTGCAACTGAAATTTAATACAAGACAAGACAATTTTAGAGGAGGAATTTAGTTATCCAATTTCTGATTGTGTTGATAAATCTATAATTTAACAGCGTCATTACTTTTAATGTCTGATTTGAAAATTTTCATCAATGTATTCTGTGTTTTTGTACAAACACATAGGCTTGTAGAGAAATAAACAGTATGTCATAAAAATTCAGTTTTAGAACTTTATGTATTTTCGTGTACATTGTATAACAAGAGTTCATACAATGTAAATGATTTTATGTAATGAACTATCTGTATGTATAAATTAATTGTCAAGTAATATTCATTGTACTTTGTAAATCAGTAATCGATCTCCAAAGTCCATTGAACCAATAAAAATTTAGAGCAGAGCAAAAACAGACCCCCAAAAACATCAGAATTGGAATCGGGTTCCATGTAGGAGTAGCATCCTCTGCCGACCGGTCAAACCCGCCGTGTTCTTCTCGTCATAATTGGAAGTAATATTTTCCCCCATTTGGTTATGTTTCTCTAGTAGTAATAATCAGAAGTATATGAGATTTGATTAAATTTTCAACAGTGAAATACTAAACATTTATTGACTGGGTTCGAGGGCAACATGGGTTTTGTCGGACCCAAGAACCAAACTGTTTGCCGTTAGGCCGAAGGAAAACAGTTTGGTTCGAGGGG